GCGCACGCACTGCCCGAATCGTCAACAGTCAACGACCCCGCAACGACACCTTCGACCTTCAAGCAGTCAAATTGCGTCAACGCAAGCAAATCCAACGACCCAGATCCAAGCTTCAACAACCTCAACGGGACAACCTGCGCAAGGAGCAAGAAACATCGTTAGCTGCATGGCAAGACTAAGTGACTCTTGCGTCATGGATTCACCACCTCATTACTCACCGGAAGAACAACTCGACAACACCACACCTCGTCGCGAAGCACTTCAACCAAATCCGACATACGCTGCCATCGCCCAAAACGAGCCATCCGGAAAAGACACGTGGTTCTTGGACAGTTGCTGCGGACAACACATGTGTTCTTCGGGACGCTTCGTACAGAGAGAGTATCAGCTTCAACGAGAGGTCGTCATCACCGTCGCCAATAATCAAAACCTGTACACACGACGACAAGGAATTGTACAACTTCAGTCACGGGAGACAAACGTCATTCTGCAAATGTCCAAAGTTTTAATCGCAGAAGGCCTCGGATACAACCTTCTCAGTGTGAGTCAGTTGATGGCGAAAGGCATCCACCTCGAAGCAGACAGCACTACCCAAGAATTCAAGCTGTACCACGGGAGAGGAGGTCTTTACATCGGGAGGTCTTTACAACGTCTTCGTCTTGGACTTCGTTCCTGATCTCGGCACCGCTGACAGTGACGCCATAGTCAACTTTACCAACTGGACACACCCTCCGGATCTTGACCCCGACTTCAGTCCAGGCGGCTTCTGGTATTCACATACCATTCCTGAAACAGAGAGAACAAGAGCATTAGCAGCGATTCAACAATCGGCAGCAGCAGAGACAACGTCGGCAGCAGCAGAGACAACGTCGGCAGCAGCAGAGACAACAACAGCAACAGCGACAACGACGACACCAGTCGCCGGTCCTTCAACGACGGCGCTCTTCAACGACGATGCACCACCAACACCTGCACAACAGCTTCAGCCAGCACCACGAGAATTTCATCACAGTCCCAACTTCACCACCGGTCTCTACTCCAACTCCGACATGTATCAGCGCTCACCCGGTCATCGCGCCAACGAAGAAATCTGGCACGCAAGAATGGGACACCCAAGCAACACTGTGTTAAACAACACAATTCGAGCAGGAGTACTCGACAAGGACTCTCTGCTTTTAACAGACGGCAGAGAACTTCAGCGAGCTCGAGGAACATGCTTCACCTGCCCCGAAGCTGACTTACCGCATCAGCCCTTCGTTTCGCATCACAACCCAAGCGCACCTGCATATGCACCACTCGAGAAAGTATACAGCGACATCTTGTACAACCGCGAACCCGGACAAAACGCGTATAACTACACCATCACCTTCATCGACGCCGCTACACGCTACGTCTGGCACCTAAACTTACCAAGTCGCGACATGGCTTTCGAGGCTTTCGTGGCATGGCTTCCAGCAGCAGAACGGGAATCGGGAGCTAAACTCAAAAGCTTCCAATCAGACGGAGGAGGAGAATACTCGTCACAGCGATTCAAGCAGTACCTGGCGGAGAAGGGAATCAAGAGACTCATCTCCCTTCCCTACGCCCATCAACAGCAGGGTGTAGCAGAAAGGATGAACAGGACTCTGCAGAACACCATGCGCAAACTGTTACGTGGCATGCGGCTACCCAACCACCAGTGGCCCGAAGCAATGGACCACGCCGTGATGCTGCACAACTTGCTTTCTTCGTCGTCACTCCCGAACAACACATCACCGCATCTGCTGTGGACAGGAAAACTGGGCAGCACAAAAATGTTACGAGTCTTCGGCTGCATGGTACAGTACCGACCCCCATCTGCACGAGCCGGCCGATTCTCCCAACGCGCACAGTGGGGACTACACCTGGGCATCGAAAAACATTACAACGCATGGAAGATCTTCGATATCAACAGCAAAGAAACAGTAGCAGCACGTGACGTGATTTTCTACGAACGACTCACACTGCCAACGTACCTTGCCAACCTGGACGAAAATCGAGACCCCACAGGCGGCTTCCGTGGCGATCGAGCCTTCGCTTCGACAGAAGACGAAGCTGACTGGGACGAGCAGAATGTGGAAGGAGCCTCGGAAGAAGCCGGACCTCTTCCCTACTGCTCAGTGGACGTACCGATGGACGAAGAAAACCCTCGCGAAAGCGTCAACGCCGAAACTTACTACCACTTCGCCGACAACGGTTACGTTACACCTGCTGAAGTCAACACCAACGAAGCAGAACGCATAGGGCCCAACTTCGCACCCGATCCAGAAACTGGAGACGAAGCAGTCTATCCCGAGGACACCACACTCCCCCGCTACACACAGAGCGGACTCCAAATCCTTGGTCTCGTCACCGCGGTCCACGGCGTCAACATTCCTAAGGAGCCTGCGACAGTTCAACAGGCTCTGGGGGGGGAGCATAAGGAAAAATGGCGCGAAGCCATGGACAAGGAGCTGAAGGCATTAGAGGAACGCAACACCTGGAAAGTCGTTCCCATCGGTGTAGCGCGAAACAAGACCATTCTTACCGGGAAATGGGTCTTCCGTGTGAAGACGAAGGCCGACGGCACCATCGACAAGTTTAAAGCACGATGGGTCGTTCGCGGCTTTGACCAGGAACATGGACGAGACTTCACCGAAACCTTCGCTCCGGTCAGCCGCCACACTTCACTTCGAATTCTTCTCGCCATCGCCGCTATGAAGAAAAAGAAACTGCGCCAAATCGACGTCGCAAACGCTTTTCTCTACGCACCGGTCGATGCAGAGATTTTCGTGGAACTACCGCACGGCTCTAATACAAATTCCACGCACGTCTGCCAGCTACTAAAATCGCTTTACGGGATCAAGCAGGCACCGCGACTGTGGCAGCAGTACCTGCATACTCGTCTCATCCGCATCGGCTTCAAACAACTCCCGCACGATCGTACCGCCTCACGAAGAACAGCGACTACATCTTGCTAATTGTCTACGTGGACGATCTTCTCTACATCGGCTCTACCGACAGCATCACCACCTGGTTCGAAGGGGAGCTGCAGAGGGACCTCACCCTCACTGTCTCATCTACCGTCACACAGTATCTCGGACTTAACATTCGAGAAGATAACGACGCGATCTACCTCAGCGCCGAAAAGTACGCCGACGCCATCGCCAAACGATTCGGAATTACGCCAGCCGCGATTTCAACACCATACCGCTACACGACAGGAGCCGATAAGGAATCTACCCCACTTAAATCCGCCGGCATACGCAACTATCAGAGGAAGCTAGGTTGCCTTCTCTTCGCAGCCGTCACTTGCCGACCCGACCTATCCTACTCCGCAAGCCAGCTCGCCACTTATCTCAAGAAGCCTGAAGCAGAACACCTGGCGGAACTTGACCGCGCTCTGCACTACTTTATCAGCACCGCAATGATCGGCTTAACTTATCACAAGAACGCAGCTACACCAACCAAGCTAATCGGCTACGTCGATGCCGATCACGCCGGCGACACTGACAACAGACGCTCACGCACCGGCTACGTCTACCGCCTCGAGCCTATCGGTCAAGCAAGCAGGAGTTAATCGCGCTATCTTCGGCTGAAGCAGAATATATCGCACTCTGCTCAGCCACCAAAGAAGGACTCTATCTTCGCGAGCTACTGGAAGAAGCGAAGTTAGCCGAGTTACCCAACTTTAACGTGTTCTGCGACAACCAGTCAGCAATTCGCATCGCCAACAAGAACGGCTTCGCGAACAGGACGAAACATATTGCCCTACGTTACTTCTTCGTGAAGGACGAGATCGAGAAGGGGAGACTCGAGCTGTCATACTGCCCCACATCCGAGATGGCAGCTGACTACTTGACCAAGAAACTCGGAAAGCAAAAGTTCGAGTATTGCATGCTGCTGACTGGACAGGGCCACGTCACCAGCAGCGACACTCCAGAAGCGAAGGGGAGTGTTGGAAACAATAAGACCTAAGCGCTTCAGTCGTGTCGAAAACACCGCATCAGAAGCGAGGCAAACTACACCGAAGCACCCGCGAGTCAACCCTCGGGGGTTGAAGAGGTTGCTGGAGGTTACGCGAAGGTCAAAGGTCGCTGACCTTTGACCCGACAAGTACAGCGCGACAGTTAAGGACATACAACTGACTCGTTACAGAGCAGTTGCCCGAGTCGTACTGTATCGAACCGCAACAGCAACAGTAAAAGTAGTTATAACCGTATCCTTTGACATTCCTTACACCACTATATATTCTTGTACTTTCCTGTTATAATTAATCTACTTTGCCCTCACATACTAGCGCAAGGTGGTTCACAATTACTTCACTAAAAGCTTCCGCTATTACAATTGTCCTACCCAGAGTTCTCCCCTGAAAAGATCCTAAGGGGCTATCTCAGCCCAACAATCTTGAGATATTGAAGGTTGGGTCTTTGGATAGGCAAGGGAAAAACATGTACCGTACTCAACCACGATAAAAATTACAGTCTGCCACACATCACAAAGCCTGAAAGATGTTTGAATAAGGGACCTTGCTTTTTATATTGTCGTGATAGTCGCTATAAACACTTTTTCCTTGAGACTCTTGTCTAAAAAATTGTCTTTTTGTATAATATACCTGGTCATTGTGAAGCGAGGATCCGCGCGTGGTGTGGTGTCAGCGACAGTTCCAAGAGACAGATTTTGGCCTCCACTATCCATTTCTGCTCCATACCACGGTATGGTCCACCCGTGACCCTGACCTTGATTCAAGATGTCTGGCTAGCTATCTATCTCACCTTGGGATTGTCGCTGCCAGCCTTTGTACTGCCAGTCCTAGGTCGTCGTTTAACTCTCCGGCCTGGAGTGGTGAGAGTCGATCGCTGTGTTGTTCAACCATTCGCCGGATTAGGCTCGCAGGTCATCAGGCGAAGCGAAGCCCAGTCCCTGATGTTTCTCTGACATATCCCATTCGCCGAAAGCCGTCAGATCGCATCGCGCGGTTCTAAATCTCCGCTGCGGTCTTGATGGCGACACCGTTTTCTTCTGTCTCGGCTCACTCGAGCCCCGCGCACCAACTACCCCTGATCAAGCCTTCTCATAAACCCAAACCCGCCAGCGTCATCCTTCCTCCGATATCTCGCTCTCAGCTGCTAGGGATCCGACTTCCAGTCTCTAGAATCTCGGTTCCTAGGGTTACAACGCGGTATACGGTCCCCGATATAGTCACATCGTCAAGTAAACACCCCGATGTCTTGACTAGATTAAGAGGAGAGGCTGTTAGGCCAGTAGTTGCTGCGAGGTGCAGTCCGGTACCGCATTGCGGCAATGGGGGTGAATGTGAGAGCAAGAGGCATAGGAGGGTCGTTCGGTCGCTAGCGTCGTCGTCCGATTCCGAGTCGTGGACGACGGTTGTCGGCGGAGCAAGCGACAGCGACGCAGCTAGTGCGACGCGTGCGACGGGCTCGGCGACGAGCGGTGGCCAGGAACAGGCTTTGTCGCAGGATGGATCGCACGCGCAAGTCAAGGCGGAGGGAGGGAGAGCGGGAGTGAATGGTCAGGTGGAGGGGTTTAGAGCGGTGGATGGAGGTTTGGAGGGGGGAGAGGAAGACGACGAGGAAGAATGGGAAGAGGAGGAGGAGGAGGGTGAGGAGGAGGATGAGGAGGATGAGGAGGATGGAGAGGAGGAGGAGGATGAATGGGAGGAGGAGGAGGAAGAGGAGGAGGAGAGTGAGGAGGAGAGGAGGGAGAGGAGGCAGCAGTCGGAGCAATGGCTGCTGAATTTCGACCAGCTCGGTTCCACAGGTGAGCGTTTCGGTTCCACAGGTGAGCGTTTCGGTTCCACAGGTGAGCGTTTCGGTTCCACAGGTGAGCGTTTCGGTTCCACAGGTGAGCGTTTCGGTTCCACAGGTGTGCGTTTCGGTTCCACAGGTGTGCGTTTCGGTTCCACAGGTGAGCGTTTCGGTTCCACAGGTGTGCGTTTCGGTTCCTCGGGTGAGCTCGTCTTCTAAGGTGTCCATTCGGGTGGCGAGAGGACGAGAGAAGTGGGAGTGGGAGTGTGCACGAGCGTGATTAGTGTAATGGGTTCCAGCTGTTCAACACCATGGGAAGTGGCGGGATAGGCTGCTAAGAAGGCGTTAACTCACTCCCTTCCTCCTTCTCATCCCCTTCCCCGCTCCCCCTTCCCCGCAGTGCCGGTATCCGCGCTGGACGCGCAGCAGCTGCGCCTCTTCTTCGCGGAGTCGCTGGCGCGCAGCAGCCGCGCGGGCGCGGGGGAGGAGGTGGAGGCGCGCATGGCGGAGATGCGCCGCCTGGGCCTCCGGGCGGGCGCGCGCGCGCACCACGCGGCGGTGGTCGTGCACACGGCCAAGGGGGACCTCTTTGAAGCGGTAAGCTGAGAATTGGTAACCAAGCGGAGTCGTTGGTAGTGGTTGCGTGAGGTTAACTTCCAAGCTCCTTTATTTCTCCATCGTTATTCAGAAACTGAGCCTTTATGATCCCCTCCCCTATCTCTCCACCAGCGCCGGGCGCTGCGCCGCATGCTGAACAGCGGGGTGTTCCCGCTGTACGAGACCCTGGTGGCGGTGCTGCGGCTGAGCGAATGTGCACTGATTGATCCCACCCACTCCATCTCCCTGCTTCCCGCTCCCTCCCCACACATGTCCGCCCCCCACCCCTCAATCAGCGCCGCGCCCTCAGGCACATGCTGAACAGCGGAGTGTTCCCGTTGTACGAGACGCTGGTGGTGGTGCTGCGGCTGAGCGGGCGGAGGGGCACAGAGCTTCTCTTGCCCCCTCCCCACCTTCCCCTCCCCCTTTCTCCTCCGTCCCCTGTCCCCTGTCCCCTTGCCTTACCACCCGGGCAGCGTCGAGCCTTGCGCCGCATGCTAAACAGCGGGGTGTTTCCGCTGTACGAGACGCTGGTGGCGGTGCTGCGGCTGAGCGGGCGGAGGGGGCAGGTGGCGGAGGGGGAGGGCATCCTCGCGCTCATGGGCGAGCTGCAACTCAACCAGCGCGCGGCGTGGGTTGTCCTCATCGGTGAGTCACAAGGGTGGGGTGGTTCGTCTCTTATTGGTGAGTAGACAAGTGCAGTGTGGGTCGTCTGCTCCCTTCCCTGCCTGCTCCGGCTCTCACTCCCACACAACCCCTTATTGGCAAGCGTGCTAAGGCCAATAGGCCTCAATCCCAAACCCCTTCAGCCCTCAAACCCAACCCTCCCCCGCTCCCTGCTTCCTCTGTCCCCCTCCCCACCTCTGTCTTTCCAGAGGAGCTATTTGCATCGGGCAGCCATGCGGAAGGCAAGGCGCTGCTTCTAAGAGGAGTGGAGGACGGGCTGTGGCCCACAGCAGGGCTGATCGACGCCGTGGTGGAGAGCAGCTGCAGGGAGGGAAGACACACTTCATCCCACATGCGCCTGTCCTCCCTGTGATTTACACTCCACAAAATGCCTCTGCATCAAAACCTTCCGCCACCCGCCCTGTCCCCCCACTCCCGTGTTCAAACCAGAGGAACTTTTTGCATCGGGCTCCCACGCTGAAGGCAAGGCGCTGCTGCTAAGATGGGTGGAGGACGGGCTGTGGCCCACAGCAGGGCTGATCGACGCCGTGGTGGAGAGCAGCTGCCGGGAGGGAAGGGCCACCCTCTTCATCCCACATGCGTCTGTCCACCTTTTTTCCCCTCCAAACCCTGCAGAGGAGCTATTCGCCTCAGGCTCCCACGCGGAAGGGAAAGCTTTGCTCCTACGAGGAGTGGAGGACGGGCTGTGGCCCACAGCGGGGTTGATAGACGCCGTGGTGGAGGGCAGCTGTCGGGAGGGAAGGCATGCGGATGCTCATGACGTGATGAACGCCCTGGAGCAGAGGGGATGGACGCCCGCTACGTTCCACCACAACTGCGTGCTCATGAGCATGGTGGGTGGGGCGTGTGTGAGGCGTGGCGTATCTGTGGTTCGTGGGGCGTGGTGCTCCTCCCCCCTTGCTTTCTTGTTAGCAATCAACCAACCCCTCTCAAACATTGCTGTGTCTCAACACCACCCCCTCCTCCCTCCCCTGGCCCCTCCTCCCTCCCTTCAGAGCAAGGCAGGGGTGCCGGACATAGCAGTGCAGAAGCTGGAAGCAATGGTGGAGGAGCAACACTACACCCCTCAAACCCCACCTTTCTCCCGTCCCTTGTCAACTATCACTCCTGCCCACCCCCCTCCTCCCCTCAACCAGAGCAAGGCGGGTGTGCCGGACATAGCAGTGCAGAAGCTGGAAGCAATGGTGGAGGAGCAACGCGGTGAGTGGGACTGATGGGGGAGGAGTAGTGAGGGCAGTGGGGTGCGTGAAGGTAGGCGCGGATGAGTGGGTGGGTACAAGTAGTGGTCTGATTCTTTCAGAGAAGATGTGTGGGAGGAGGTTTTGTAATGCTTCATGTGTATCATACGTATGCCTCATGTGCATCATTCATGTGTCCCATGTGCTTCATGTGCATGCTATACACCCAATGTGTGCAGAGGGGTTGAAGGAGAGTCGCAGGGAGGGCAAGCCGGACGTGCACTCGTACAACTGGGTGCTTGAGGCCTTCGCTGCACACCCGCAGGAGAGGTGGGTTATAGAAAAGGATGGGTCCATTCGCCCCCGTTCCTTGTTCTGTTCTTGTTCCACTCCCACCACAGCAGTGCACTCAACGTCATGCCACAAGAGCTCCGCACCCATGAGACCTCGAAATACTCTCTCTCTCTCTCTCCTTTTGCGCACAGCTGCTGCCCCTGCCCGCCTCTTCCTATCCGCCGTGTCCCCTGCCCTGCCCCTACACCGTGCCCCCCGTCCTTATGTCCACCGTTCCCTACACCCGGCCTGTGCGGCGTGGCATCATGCCTGTGATCCCTGCATGGCATGGCAGGTACGAGGACACATTGGAGTTCATCGGGCGCATGGTGGAGGATAGCACTGTGCATCCTAACGGCAAGACCTATGCGTACGTGCCTTACCCTTGCACACTCTCCTCTTCCCTGTCACCGTGCGATATAGAAACCACGACAATCGCCCTCCTTTTCTTGAACAGCACTTTCTGTCGTCTTTCTCGACTGTGCTTTCTCCCCCGCACTCTCCCCCCCACACTTTTTCCCTCGCTTTTCCCCTCTTCCCTCTCGCATCCCAGTCTGCTAGTGGAGATATTCTGCAAGGACTGGAACTTCTTATCAGAGGCCGTGCGGCACTTCCGAGCCCTGCAGCGGCTGCCAGGCCAGATGGGCTGCCTGGACGTGCAGAGGGAGGGGCGCTACCACGCCACTGCGCTCTTCCTCAGAGCGCTGTGCCGGGCAGGTGGGTTCTCAGCTGATGTTTGTCTTAGGCGATTCAACAAAGTTGGAAGTGCAGAGGGAGGGGCGCTACCACGCCACTGCACTCTTCCTCAGAGCGCTCTGCCGAGCAGGTGAGTCTCGGATTTCTGTTGATGGGAATGTGGGTCAGAGTGCTACCAGGCCTGATTCGAATCAACAAAGTTGACGTGCAGAGGGAGACGGCATCTGCCCCCCACATCAATAATGACAGTTTGAGTCTGTTTTCCTCAGAGCACCTCTGTCATCACTATCATCATTGAACAGAGGTGTCATCACTGTTTTCCTCAGAGCGCTCTGCCGAGCAACTGATGCTGCAGGCGATAGTGCGGGACAGAGTGTCCCCTTCCCATGCTGTTTGTAACCCCTTTCTCCTCCTCTTTCTTGTTCCCTCTTTCCCTCGTGCCCCTCTGCTGCGCCTCGCAGGTCTGGTGCAGGAGATGCAGGAGGTGCTGCAGGCAATGGTGCGAGACAGAGTGACCCTTTTTCCCGTTGTTTATAATCAGGTCTGCTTGAACCTTTCCCTCCCTTGCCACCCCCACCTGCCAGGTCTGGTGCAGGAGATGCAGGAAGTTTTGCAGGCGATGGTGCGGGACAGGGTGAAGCTGCCAGCATCAGCACTGCTGGTGGACAAGCGCACGCGCCGCACACTGGTGTCGGCATGGATGCAGCCGTGTGACATGGAGCCTGATTATGGGCAGCCCGTTGATTACATTCAGAGGTAAGCGTTCTAGGCAGTATCCGCATCATCAGCAGTATCATCAGCACCGCACGTTGGTGTGGGCATGGATGCAGCCGTGCGACATGGAACCTGATTATGGGAAGCCCACAGATTACATTCAACGGTGAGATGCGGGGGCATCGGGATAATGAGTATCATATTGAGGAAAGCATCAGCATCAGCATCAGCATCAGCATCAGCATCAGCGCATCAGCATCAGCATCAGCATCAGCGCATCAGCATCAGCGCATCAGCATCAGCATCAGCATCAGCATCAGCGCATCAGCATCAGCATCAGCGCATCAGCATCAGCATCAGCATCAGCATCAGCAGCATCAGCATCAGCATCAGCATTAGCATCAGCATGTGCATCAGCATCAGCATCAGCATCAGTATCAGCATCAGCATCAGCATCAGCATTAGCATCAGCATCTGTTAGAATATCTCCTCTCTTGTAACCTGCATATATGCTATAGGATAGGCTAGAGATAAGCACCCAAACTTAGTTTGGGTGTACAAGCAGGGGTTACCCAATTTGTAGGTTGGAAACCCAACCTTGGTCCAATTATTGGACCCCAAGGGTTGGGATGGGTAGAATTATTGGTCCCCTCCAATAATGTTGGCCCAACTCCAACTTGGCCAACATTATTGGACCCCACCAATAATCTCCCAACCCAACTCCTTGGTTGGGGTCCAATAATGTTCACCTAGGCTAGTTTCCAACTCATCTCCTATGTAAACCCCCCATCCTTTCAATCAATCCATCAACTTCTCTTCTACCTTTTCTTCTCACATGGTATAGAGCTCTTAAAAATCCTAGGCCTACGCTCCTAGTTTTTTTTCAAAGGCCGCCGCAACCCCCGGCCTCCTCTCTCATTTCTCCGCGGCTATCTCGCCACCCTCCCCCTCTCCTCAAGCACTCCCTTCCTCGCAGCCCCACGGCCTCCCACGCCATCACGGCTCGCGGCCCCACCGCCGCTTCCGCGCTCGCCTTGTCGCGGTCCCGCCGACCGCCACCGCCCGCCCCATCCCGCGGCCTCGACGCCGCCTCCGCGCCAACGCCACTGCGGCCGCCGTCGCCGCCGCCGCTCCCTTCCGCGGCCTCGACGCCGCCTCCGCGCCTGCACTGCCGCGGCTTCGCCAGCCGCCGCCGCTCGCGCCGCTCCCTCCCGCGACCCCGTCGTCACTTCCGCGCCAGCACTCCCGCGGCTTCGCCAGCCGCCGCCGCTCGCGCCGCTCCCTCCCGCGGCCTTGTCGCCGCTTCCGCGCCTGCACTGCCGCGGCCTCGCCAGCGCCGCAGCTCGCGCCGCTCCCTCTCGCGGCCTCGTCGCCGCCTCCGCGCCTGCACTGCCGCGGCTTCGCCAGCCGCCGCCGCTCGCGCCGCTCCCTCCCGCGACCCCGTCGCCGCTTCCGCGCCGGCACTGCCGCGGCTTCGCCAACCGCCGCCGCCCGCGCCTCTCCGCGGCCTCGTCGCCGCCTCCGCGCCAGCCGCCGCGGCCTCGCCAGCCGTCGCCGCCCGCGCCTCTCCGCGGCCTCGTCGCCGCCTCCGCGCCAGCCGCCGCGGCCTCGCCAGCCGCCGCCCGCGCCTCTCCGCGGCCTCGTCGCCGCCTCCGCGCCAGCCGCCGCGGCCTCGCCAGCCGCCGCCCGCACCTTCCCCTCCAGCGGCCTCGACGCCGCCTCCCCGCCAGCACCGCCGCGGCCTCGCCAGCCGCCGCCGTCCGCGCCCCTCCGCGGCTTCAACGCCGCCTCCGCGCCAACCGCCGCGGCCTCGCCAGCCGCTGCTGCCCGCGCCCACCCCCCCCCCCCCCCCCCCCCCCCCCCCCCCCCCCCCCCCCCCCCCCCCGCGGCCTCGTCGCCGTTGCTCCTCCGTGACCACTGCGGGTCCACCTGCAGCCGTCCATCATGGCTACTCCTACACCCTCCCCCTCCCCACTTCCTCCCCCTATTGATACGTCCTCCATTGATAAGCTCCAGCTCGCCGCGGACAAGTCCGCAGTCAACTGGCACTCCTTCGTCGGCAGCATCCGACGCGTTCTCTCCGACGCATGGGTTCCCCCCTACCGTGTCCTTGACGTCATCCTCCGCCGCCCCCATGCCCTCCCCCCCACCGAACCTCCCCACCCCGGCGAGACTCCTCCTCTTCCTCCTACTCCTGGCGACCCTCCTCGTGAACCCGATCTTCAGATCACCCCCGACCAAGCCACTGCGGACACTGATTTTATCCTACGCCGCCGTGAATACCTCATCCGCAAAGCCGAGTACGATGCTGCAGTTGAGGCCTATGATCAGGCGGTTGCTGGTCGCGACGCTCACCTCGAGGTCGTCGCCAAATACAAGGTCGACATGGCTGACTTCACCCCCAGACTCATCGCCTGGACAGCTGCTGACACCCGTGCCTGCACCGTTCTCCTTGGAGCTCTCCCTGACTCCCTCATGCGTCGCTTCCAGGCTCGGGAACTCCGTGCCTCGGTCATCTGGGCAGAACTCCATGCCATGTTTGAGCGCCGCGACATCAGCTCCGTCGGCATCCTCTTCCAAGAGTATTTTTCCATCACCCTCGCCACCTGTGACGGAGCAGTCGACTACGTCGGACGCATGCGCGAGGTAGCTGATCGCCTCGAAGCCCGCCAGGCCGGCCTCTCCGAACCTCTTCAAATCCACCGCCTCCTCTTTAACCTCACCCCAGACTACGAATCCCGCCTCCACGCCTTTACCGAAGCCAATCCCATGGCCGGTCTCGCCTCCGTTGAACAGTGGATTATCGACACCGAAGTTAAACTCCGTACACCCATCGTCAACCTCGCCTCCTCCCAACCCACCTCCTCCTCCCTCAACGCTACCCAGCCTCGCAAGCAGGGAAAGAACAACGGCAAAGGAGGAGGTGGGGGCAAGGGAGGTGGTGGTTCGGGAAGCAGCAACAACCGTGGTGGCACCACTGGGGATGAGCATGGCACCTCCACTTCGGGTGGACCCACTGCAAGTCGCGGGAGTCGCCCTGGCACGCTTCCTCCCTGCACCTATGTCCGCCGCTATGGTCCTCGGGCTGGAACTCCCTGCGGACAGACCAACCATCCCCCTGGCACGTGCTTCAAGGCTCTCGACGATGCCTGGTACGCGCGGGGTAACGTTGGCACTCCTCCAAAGTGGGGCAACATCTCCCCACGCCCCTCCCCCACCGATATCCAAACCAATCCAGCCTACCTCCCAGCCCACCTCCGCCTCCTTGCTCCCCCCACACCCTTCCTCAACCTCCAGCAGCAGCACCTCCAGCAGCAGCAGCAGCAGCAGCAGCAGCAGTTACAGCAGCTGTTTCACCCTCAGCCGCAGCAGCAGCAGCAGCCACAGCCGCCGCAGCACCCATGGGGGTCAGGACCCCAGCCACAGTGGGGACCCAGCCCTCCTCCCTGGCCGCAGCAGCAGTTGAACTTTGGCACAGCAGCCATGGCCGCTCAAGCCTCACCTGCCCCCCTTTGGGGTGCCCCACCCCCCCCCAGTAGCACTGCCACCCCTCTCACTCACGAGAGCTTCCTTGGCAACATAGTTGTTTCGCCCTCTCTTCCTTCCATGTACCCATCCAACATTAATGAAACCACTTTCCAGTACTCAGTGTCTTCCTCCTCCTCCTCACCCACTCTGGACTTTGTCCTTGACAGTGGGGCCACTGAGACCGCCCTCAAAGACGCTGGTACACTCACACCCCTCTCCCCTCCCACTCAAGTTCACGGTGCTGACAGCAGCTTCACCATCCCATGCACACACCTCTCCACTCTCCCCTGTTCACTCTTCCCCTCTGGCAAGGTAACTGGTCTCCACATCCCCACTCTCCGAAACAACCTCCTCTCCCACCGTGAAATCCAAGGTGCAGGTATCACTGCCGTCTATCCTGGTAATGCCACCTACTGTGACCTTTACCACACTGCCTCCGGCCGCTTCCTCCTCCGCATACCCCTCTGCCCTCGCACTCGCCTCTACACTCTCCGCACTCCGTGGCCATCCTCCTGCCATGTTACCACTCGTGCGGGTACCTCCACCAGCCCTCCCCATCTCCCTCCCTCTCCTCCCACTCCGTCTCCTCCCCACTCCTCCATCCCTTCCTCACTCATTCCAATCCCCTCCACCTCCGACCATCTCTCCCACCCCGCTGTTCTCCTACATCACCGACTCGGCCATCCGAATTTTGCCGCTCTCCGCACTGCCGTCACCTCACGACTTCTCCACAGCCTCCCTCCAACTCTTCCTCCCCTTCCCTCCTCCCCAGCCCCCCCATGCCCCTCCTGCATCCACGGCAAACTCAAACAATCTCCTCACCACAGCCACCCATCCTTCGCTCCTGCACCCATTGACCTTGTCCATATGGACCTCTGGGGGCCCTCTCCCACCCGCTCACGCCAAGGCCATCGCTACATGTTGGTTCTTGTTGACGATCACAGCCGCTACTCCTCCATTTTCCTCCTCCACACCAAAGACCAGGCGCCGACCATTATCATTAACTGGGCAGAGCAATGCCGCACCCACTTCAAACGTCCCATCGGCCGCCTCCACTCTGATGGGGGAGGCGAATTCCTCAACCGCACTCTCTCTCACTACTGCGCCACCCATGGCATCCAACAGACCCACACTCTTCCCCACTCCCCACAGCAGAACGGCGTTGCAGAAAGCCGCATTCGCGAAATCACTAAGATCGCCCGCTGTCTCCTTGCTCACGCCTCCACCCCTCCCTCTCTCTGGGGCTATGCCCTCCTCTATGTTGCCCTCCTCCTCAACCTTCACTCCCATCCCCAACACACTGCCGCTACCCCCACGGAGCTCTGGTCAGGAACCAAACCTGACGCTGCCGGTCTCCGTGTCTGGGGTTGCAAGGCATATGTGCTTATTCCTCCACCCGACCGCACCCAAGGCAAGCTCGCTCCTCGCGCCCTCGAGTGTGTCTACCTCGGACACAACCGCGACTCGCCTGGTTACCTCTTCCTTCACCCTCCCTCTGGTCGCCTCATCCGCAGCATTGACGTTGTGTTCGATGAGACCACCCCGTACTACTCCTCCCCACCACCAGACCCCCTCCCTCCTCCCGCACGTCCTCTCGCTTGGGCCGACACCGTCCTCCCTCCCCTCCTCCCTCCGGCACCTCTTCTCCCACCCCTCCCCACCCCGCTTCCGCCACCTTCATCCGCCGACGTCTACGATCCCACTGCTCCTGCCTCCCCCGCACACTCCACGGCTCCCCCTCACCCCTCCCCTTCCCACTCCCCTCCTCATCCATCACAGCAGCAGCAGCAGCAGCAGCAGCAGCAGCAGCAGCAGCAGCAGCAGCGGCGGCAGCAGGGGCAGCAGCCGCGCAGCAGCAGCAGCAGCAGCAG